CAAAAGCTATGTGAAACTAGGAAAACTGTTCATAATTCTCCAAAGAAAGGGAGGGGAAAAGGGATGGGAACTTGGAATTTGAACACAATAAACAATGATTTCATGAATTCTTGCTGGAATAGGTTTCAGAGCTGGAGTTTGCCAAGGGAAGGGCTTACTTTCTTCAGCACAAACATTTAAGCAGCAGCAGCAGCAGCAGGAAATCTATGTATAAGAAAGATAACTCACACCCCTGCCCCCTCACCCCATATGGCGATCGCTGCATGGGAATGAAGCACAGTGCCAAGAACAGCGGGAGGAGAAATGGAAAGGGAACTGAAAGCAAGCTGGCATAAGGATTCTGTTACAGACTACCCAGCTGGGGAGGAGATGAGACAGAGCTCTCTTTATATACATTCCATCCTTGCTTTGTGCTGCCAATAATCTCATTTCATAAACAGCTGAAGAAGCAAGGTGGAACTGTCCTTCAGTTCTGCCAAGGAGACACTGACAGGTGAAGCAGAAGAAAGAAAACCCTGGGAGAAAATAACCCTGCTGTCTCAGGCAGGGAACACTCACAACATTTAGCAAATCCTTGAAGGCTTACTATGTGCTAGGTATTGGAGAAAGATGAGGATCTGGAATTCTGCACTGCCCAATGTTGAACCTTTGCATGGATGAAAGTGTTCCAGAGCTTGCTGTCTGATGGAGGTCAGTAAGCATTTGAAATGTGGTTAGTGTAACTTATTTTTATGTTTATTCTATTTTAATTACTTTAAACATACATTAGCCATGTGTGGCTAGCAGCTACAGTAAGATAACACAGCTCTCATTTGATGATTCCAAGCTTTTTGTAAGTTGTGACCTTCTTAACCTTCCTCCCACCCACAAAGCAAGTACTACTCAGAAGTCCAGTATGTAATACAAGTGACACAAACAAAGCTACTACTGTGGCGGAAGTGTCCACTCAACTTCCCCATCACCTTAAATAGGTGTCTTTGAGGCATCTCCAAGGACGGATAGATCTAGGAATCCTGAGGAGGTAACTACATGGAGCTTGGGAACCAAAGAAGAGAGAACTTAGGATGTTTTCCAAATGGCTGGCTGAGTTGAACAAGCAGAACAGTGCTTCCTCTCCCGAGATGTCTACATCCTAACCTCTGGAACCTGTGACTATGGTAAGGCTCATAGCAAAGATGGATTCAGGTTGCAGGTGGAATTAGGGCTGCTTGTGGGCTGACCTTAAGAAAAGGCAGATAGCCTGGATCACTCAGGTGGGCCCAATGTAATTGTAAGAGTCTTTAAAAGTGGGAGGCAAGAGAGGAAAGCTGGAGGAAATGTGAGGACGGCGGAATGGCCTCAGAGGTGCGGCTGATGGCTAAGACACTGGAGGAAATAGTGCCACAGTCAGGGAATGGAGGAGGCCTCTGCCAGCTGGAAAGCATGGGAAGTAGGTTCTCCTAGAGCCTCTAAAAGGAATACAACCCTCTGACACCTTGATGTTAGCCTGGTGAGTCCTGGGTTAGCTTCTATGCTTCAAAACTGTGAGATAATACATTTGTGTTGAGTTGTAGTAAGCCACTAAACTTATAGCAATTTGTTACAGCAGGACTAGGAAACTAACGTGTCAAAGCTGAAAACCTGCAGGTATAAGAAAAAAAGGAAGTGCCGGCACATGGGCAGAAGGTACATTCTATGACGATTCATTTACCATGGAGCATGGGTTTCAAAGCACTGAGAAGGTATGTGTGTTGCGGGGGTTGGGGGGACAATGCTGTGTCAAGCCGTAGCTGTCTGAAGTATTACAGATGACAGTGTGGAAAAGAACAGGGGTTGTGTTTTTTTTCCAGCACGTATTGCATGCAACACCTCACACAGAGCCCAATACACAGGAAGTGCTCAATGATTGCAGAATGGAACTGAGGGCAAGGGGCTGAAGTTTGGACAGCGTTGTCTGATGATGCTGGACTGAAAGACATATAGTGAGATTTCAATGTTAATTAGCCTGAACATTGAAGAGAGCCTTCCAAAGGCTCCAGTGCTAAGGCCGTGGGGTCTTAGAGGCCTGCAGTGAAGGCTGTGTTCAGTTCAGGTGGTCAACAGCATCTTGTGAGCAATTGCTGACACCTGTTAAGGTACCTGTGACAAAACCATCCACGGTAAGGGCCTGGACTTGGTGGCTGATTAGAGAGGAGCCAGGACACTCACTCATGGTGGAAACAGTGCTTGTCTATGGTGGCTAGGGTGGCCTGGGTTTCTTTTGAGAAGGAGACAGCAAAAGAAATAAACCTGGTGCTATAAGGAGCTCTCTGACTATCTAAAACTTAGAGAACATGTGTAAGATACAAAAAGTAGCATGCTAACTAGTGATGACTATAAAAATGGGACCAGAACTCTGTAAGGCTAGCATCAGAAGGACAAAGCCAACAAGGAGCTGAAATGTGTGCAATATGTTCAGAAAAATAAGCCTTTTTAGGTTGCAGTCAGGGCAGAAAGGTAAACAATCTCAAAAACTTGGTTCACTGAAATATCAAAGATCTGCTCAACTTCTATCTTTTTTGTTAAAGGGAGTGACTGTCAAAAAGCAGGCATGGAAGAAACCAGATCAGGCAGGTTGAGAGCCTGAAAATAGGTTTATTAAGAAAATACCTAGAAATCTCGGGACCAGCAGTTAGCATAATGGCTATGTCGCTGGACTCCCATGTAGTTGACTGTGGTTCGAGTCCCGGACCTGTTGGCTTAAAACTCACATGGGGTGCGTGTGCGTGCGTGCCTAAGATCCTGAGAGGAGAATGGAGGAGAAGGGATTGCAGCGTGGCCATCCCCCCTGGGGAGTGATTTCTCGCTTTCTGTCTCTGTCTGGCGAGCGCACGCACCCTATAGCAAAGACCTCTCAAACTCTCAAAAAATGAAAAATCTAGAAATCTCAATAAATCCAAGTCTTTGGGTCCTGGCAAATGATATATCTTGGATTAACAAACATGATTGTGTAACTACCAACTAGTGACATTTGAGAACTTGAATGAGCAGAAAACTGCCATACCATCAGATAAGTAAATGTTATGCCTAATAGCAGAAATAAGAAAAAAGGCTTATTTCCTAGTCTATAACCTGGGTTCATTTGAGACTAAAACATCAACAACAACAACAAAAAATCAACAAAAATATGTATTACATGCCTGGCTTTGGTCATACACTACGCTAGCTTCCATTATATATTCATTTAATGTGAGACTCTAGACAAAAATAAGGGCAGGTTGTTATTCATTCATGTACTCATGTTTACACAGAGATCAAATCATGCCAAACTTACATTTACTTTTTTAGAAGGAAATATAGCAGGTAGAAAGTCAGTCACTTTGTGATATATTTTGTTGTTTACCTAAGAACAAAGTGGAGACTGTAGCCTGGGTGAGAATACAGTTTTACCATGAATGGAATGGTCCCGTCTATGAGGGCAAGTACATTGTCTTGTTCAGTGTGGTATCCCCAGAGTGATAGCCGCACCAGGGGCCAGTAAGCACTTGTTACTTGCTGAATGAGGGATGACTCACAGATGACTTGAATGTCAGTATATGAAGACTGTCTAGTGCTCCATGTCAATATATGGCATGGGGTCTCTCCAGGGAGGCTTTGAGTTTCATCTCAACCTGGTCTAGCCCTGCATTTGAATCGATAACTTGGATGAAGATAAGGTATCACATACAAAGACAATGCCAAGGGCAGCTAATTTATTATGAGGCAAGGTAAAGAGACTTAAGGTAAAATTAAGACAGAAGAGGATGATAAACTCTTCTACTTAGGCTTCTTTAAAAAAAATGCACAATGGGAGGAAACCCCAGATTAAGAGCAGTTCATGTACATGAACCCCAAATTTTAATTTATTAGAAGCTCAGTAAGAGGCAGCAATCAATCTGATATGATAGTTGAAAATGCAAATGCAATTCTAGGCTGCCATTAAGAGAAGATAATGTTCAAGCCAAGTTGAGAAAGTGCTGATATCTTCTCTAGTAAAGATACCATCTGTGAGGAAAGTAATCAGTTCTGGGAACATTTTAACAGGATCAATAATGTGAACTGTATATGCTGGGGGAGAGGACAGCATGTAGCTTAAGGAATACTCTGGAAACAAGAGCAACCGAAGGAGTTGAGGCTGTTTAAATGGGGTCAGGGGGAGCAGGGTACAGCACAATACTACCTTTAAATAGAGCACACTAATACAAAAGAGATTTGACTAGGAACGGCAAAGTTTTCCTCTTGTGAACGAATTCTGACCAGAAACTGGTGTTGAGGAAGACTGAGATGGAGTGTGCTCGGCAGGAAACACTGCTGTGACCAACTGCCCACGTCGGCTATGGGTCTGGGATGAGGTAGTGCCTATACAAGGCCAATCATCTGCTAACTCTGGACCACACAGACTTACTGCAAAATGCAGTAAGGCCAAGCCCAGGGCTGCTTGCTCATTTTATGAGGAAACTATTGTAGAAATGTATTCTATAAGGGGCAGCTGGAAGACAACCAAAGGTCTACCTGCCACCAGTGGGAGGATGAACCCAATGAACTCAGAAGTACCTTCCGACTCTTAAGAATTTTAAAGTGCAGGCATATGTAAAACAAAACTCTCATCAACTCCAGCTCCAAAGCCATCCATTCTTTTTTTTTAATAATTGTTTATTTTTATATATTCATTCACTGCCAGAGACAGACACAGAGAGAAAGAGAATGTGAGAAAGCGAGCCACCAGGTCCAGGACTCGAACCGTGGTCGGTCATGTGGGAGTGTCCAGCGTCTTAACCACCACACCACCTGCTGGTTCCCCCCAAAGCCATCCATTATTTTTTTTCTTTTCTTTTTTTTTTTGGAGAGGTTTTTGCTATAGGGTGTGTGTGCTTGCCAGACAGACAGAGAGAGACATAGAGACAGAAAGAGAAATC